ATAGATAGGGCCGCTACTACTACTATATAGTTACTATGATCTACGGGACTTTACACCTCTTACACCTCCCCCCATTGCAAAAAAGTCCGTCCTCGGACTTGAGAACGGGGAAACTGAAGAAGAAAAGGAAATGAAAGAGGGTACTCACCGTAATGGACGTCGAGTGAGAAAAAACAACCGGCTATTCGAGCAGATCGGGCAGCGATGCGGTCGTCGTTACGGCGCCGGAATTCCGCGCCCAACGGAGTAGGATGTCCCAATACGACAAGCCGACTAAGGATTTCTCATGACCGAGCACGAATTGTCCGTGGCGACAACGGGACAGGGCTACGTTCAGTCGGTGGGGGTCGTTGAGGAATTCCCCACGCTCAGCGTCAAAGCCGGTACGTGTCGTCAGCAGGACTACGATATCCTTCTCACGCCCCTGAACGCTATCTACGGTGTGGATGTCAACTTGGGTACGCTTGGCGAAATGCTCTAGAAGGCGACTCTGCTCTTTGTAGAAGACAATGATGGCCAAAGAGGCAGGACGGACGTTCTTCCTGAGCAGCGCCAAGATGATCTGACGGCAAACCTCGGCTTCGGCTTCGTTTGAGTGTGAGCCAGAAAGAGACTTCGACGAAGAACCGGCGACGTCAACGAAAAGGAATACCGATGTAAGTAATAAAAAGAGACTTGACGATACCCGTAGTGACAACAATACAGCACAGCCCGACCCAGACGTTAAAGGGAGATAGGTCCAAAAGCGATCGAAACGGAAGAAAACTAGAGAAGGTGGAGGAAGTGCGTTCTGTGGCAGCTTCGGCATTACGATGAACGGCAGCGATATGATCGATCAAGCTCTCTTGATCCCGCACTGTCCACATCTCCTGAAGCTGACCGTCGGCCACAACCTCACTGAAGTTCGTCAGTATGAGGTTATGGAAAATGGTGAGCTTAGGGGACAAGGAGAGAGCGTCAAGAGAGGGGGAAGAAGGAATGGATTGGACGTGACTCAAAGGAACTGGCGACATTAAACCTGTGAGGGGGAGAACTGCAGAAGGGTGGAATTAGCCAAAAGGAACCACGGGCTTTATGTCGGCGCACTCAATGATAGGAGCCTTACCAACGATTACTCCGGTGGAGGGATTGAGGAAGGCGCGCCAAATGGAGCCACTTCGAAGCGTGATTTCCACACTAGGGTACGAGAAACAGGTGCCGTTGAAAGGAAGAAGGCGCAACGCATGATCTGGGACGGGAATGCAACGACGAACTTGGACGAAACCATTACCGAGGTGGGTTGCGGTGATGTCCTTGCGACCGATCAAACTCCGAGGTGGGTTGCGGTGATGTCCTTGCGACCAATCAAACTCCGCATGGTGAGAGTGGGGTCGGTACGAAGTGCCGAATGAAGAGCTATTGCCAAAACATTCGTACGTTCACACAGGGCTTGAACTGCATGGTGAAAGAGAGCAGTAACTGCATCGTGAACGGAGCCTTCCACGGCCAATAACTGGGCAGATAACTGGTTAGTGGTAACTAGCCCTGCATCTAGTGAACGGGGAACGCGGCGCACGAAAGCAATAGCATACCCCTGGTCGGTAACTGTCACTTGCCGACGGCAATCGGGTACCACTGGGCTCTGGCTTGACCAGGAAAGCGCGAATTCTTTAGATTCGCTGATCCAGACATTTCCCATGAGGAAGCCTTTCATCTTCGAAACCAGGATGAAACGACATTCTTCCTCTTGATCCGGAGTCCAAATAATGACCGATCCGTCGGAGAGGGTACACGAGCCGTCCTTGTATACGCAGGAACGCATGTCTCCAGCAGCAGACTCGGGAGCGTCAGTGCCATGACGAGCATGGACGACTGTCTCCAGGAGATAACAATTGTGGATCGCCGCCGTATGCGTTGAACAGCAACCAAAAGGGGCTGAAGGGAACTCAAATTTGAGCTCGTTGGTAGATCGCCAGATGTCACCATGCTGGGACATGTCACCATGGGCGCATTTCTTATGACGGGACATGAGCTTACATTCCTCCGCCGCCGAAGGTGAGTCTCCACGTGCGTCTCGGTTCGTGCACCAAAAAAGTTAACGGAATAGGAAACGGAATGACGAATGATCTTACAAAGGGAAGCGGGGGTAGAGTAGCGCTTAGTATTGGGGCGATACACCTGTAGGGACACTGACTGCAACTGGGTGGTGGAATTAGGCAAGAGCCAGGAACAATTATAAGAATACGGAACGAAGAAGAGGTTAGTGGGATTCTCTGTCGGGCAGAGCCAGGCGTCAGGGGAAGCCGAACAATTGGCTACAGATGCCAGAGCAAAACAGCAAAGAAAGAGAAGTCGAACATCAGGAAGTAAACCAGTAGCAGAAGTAGATGGCTTATTGCCAAAAGCTGATTGAGCGAGCTCCTCGTTACGTTGAACTAAAGCAGCAACTCTAGACTGAGAATTTGAGAGCTCGGCTTTCGTTTGGTCTACTTTAAGAGAGAGTTCAGCGATCCGCTGCTGAGCGGAGGCTAGAGGATCAGACGAAGGAGAAGGAGGAGGAAGAGAAGCATCACAAGCCATAAGCTGAGCGTTACCACGTTGAATAGGAGGGCGCAAGGGCTGTGGTCTGGGATCTCGCATCTCTCCAGACTTGAGCTATGGCTACCGACGCGGCGTCCCGAAGTGCCTTGGCGTCCCTTCCATGGAGGACGGAGGCGTCATCTACCTGCGCAAGCAAATCATCAAGGGGTGCAGTAAGTGCACCTGCATGGACAGACTCTGGTGAAGGAGCAGGAGCTCCGATACTTACCGACTCCGAATCCTGTGGAGGGGCAGGTGCCCCAACCAAGGCAGGAGGCGAAGACGATCCGGACGATGTAGCACCGCTACGAGTAGTTAGGCATGACAGACGAATAATAACAGACGAACCGACGAACTGAAGGGTACCAGCATTAAGGGTCGTTGCTTTTATATGCCCTTGGATGGGAAGCTCCACCCCCGTGCTCCGGGGTCAGTCAGGGGTTGGCGTGAGCGCGCAAATATTTTCAAAACGAATAAAAAAAGAAGAATATGGCGTCGATAACAATATCCACTGCTTCAAAGTCTGCTGCGCCGTCGAATTTCTCAAAGTCGGAAAACTGCCATTTACTTAATCTTCGTTCGGGGGCCCCAAATAACTGCACATCATTCGTACTTGTAGACGCCGTAAATCATCAAAACTGGCTGCTCATCTAGCTAATCACGTAGTAGCTCGGCGCTTCTCAAAAGGAGTATACTCGTGTTAACGACCAATAGGCCGGCCTAATTCTGCCACTCTACTTGTAATGCGTTGGACGCTAAGGTACCTTCTGGCTAAAGGGATGATTCACCAAAAAGGAAATTTGAACGCTTTCCCAGAAACGACCAGACAAAGAAAGTTCTAAAATGGAGAAAAAAGGAGAACCCATCCTCCAAAAAAGCTACATGCAGCTGGCATGAAATTTGAAGTCGTGAATGCACAAAGAAAGTACAAAATCGTGACTGTTTGGATCATGGGAAGAAGCTTCACCAACGAGTGTCCGCGAAGGACATTTTCCCATTTTCCGTTTGGACTAGACACTTTACAAGGCAATCACGAGTTCAAATCCAAGAGAAACGTAATAACTACGAAAGGAAAGAAAAGCAAAAGCTACTATCTTAAATGAAAAAAGGAACCATGGTAGTCGATAATAGTCACACAAAACCGCTGCCAGCTGCCGGGACCTCGACCCCCTTAGGCAAAGCGAGATTGCCCAAGGCAAACGAGGTGATCAGTCTCATTGTCTTGTGCAGGCTCAGCAGAGCCGAAAAATTGATAAAACTGACCTGCCATCCACGACGTCTCACTCGCTGCTACCAGTCATATTTGCGGGTTTATGACCCCGCGTGCTGCTGTTGAATAACATGAATATTAGTAGACTTTATTAGTACAGTGAAGGAGATCGCATTGGTTGTCGAGTATCAGATGTGAGCCGGACCTTGGAAGTGAGCTGGAACCATGAGGCGACGATCGTGGAGGAGATCTTCTGGGGCGAGGAGTCGAACGGACGAGCTGGACGGCGGCGAGATCTCGGTGCGGAGAAGAAGCCTCGATCGTCTGCGGCAGACCTTAAATACCATGCGTAAGATGACTCAGCAATACCGTATCCCTAGCACAAGCTCGCGCAGTAGAAGCGCTGATGGAAGAAATAGATAGGGCCGCTACTACTACTATATAGTTACTATGATCTACGGGACTTTACACCTCTTACAGTTCTGAGATCGCGAGTGTATATACATGCGCCTACATCTCATTGCCAATGGCAGAGTCGATGTGTTGGAAGCAGGGCACGTCCTGCCGCGGTGGCATATTCCGGGGGGGGGGAAATACGACCCGCCTCATTCGATTCCCTCTGGTACCGACCTCCCCCCTAACTTCCCCAACTTCCCCATCCTTCCTACCACCTTGCCAACTTTTTCCAACTTCCTTCCACATTTACCGAAATTTCCGATGAATTTCCAGTTCCTCCTCACCGTCGTGCGGAGGGGGGAAGAAGAAAAAACACTTGTGAAACAGGAAAAACCACAGCAATTCTACCACAAGAATGCTGAGTTGTGGGCAAAAGTCGTGCCCCAGGCGGGAGTCGAACCCGCACCTCACGCTTTCCGGGCGAGTGCGCTATCCGTTACGCCAGGGCCGCTTTTACCCTCTCAGCTTAACGGCTTATGCCGTAACCTTACAGCACTCACACGTTTAACTTGGTGAGCCGGTCAGCCGTAATCGTTAGATATCGGCATGGAACCGCAAGGCCAAAGCTTTACAAGCTTTTGAAGCTGTTCTGTTATGATAACTGTACGGTTACGGCATAAGCCGTTAAGCTGAGAGGGTAAAAGCGGCCCTGGTGGCGTAACGGATAGCGCACTCGCCCGGAAAGCGTGAGGTGCGGGTTCGACTCCCGCCTGGGGCACGACTTTTGCCCACAACTCAGCATTCTTGTGATAACATTCGGAACGCGTACTGCGGCGTTAAACAGCAGTTATCATAACGGAACAGCTTCACAAAAATTCTCCCCAACGCGACAATTACTCTCAGAGCTCTCTACGCCCCCCCCCCCTATGGAATTTTCCCATATGACGTGAATAGCGCCCGTGAGTTGGTAAAAATTACCTAACAAAAAAGGATTTTTCTCAGACCAAATACCGCTGCCCCTATTGATTACGACCCCCCCCCCCATCCACTGGTATTTGCCAACGAATAACGTGCCATGACTGGAAGTCTTTCATGAGAAACCGTCCTGAGGTTGTTTCCCTTCAAATTAAAGCGTTCGACACCGTTCAAGTAACAAAATCACCTCAGCAACTCGCATTAATCAAATAAACACCACGAAGGGAACGAAAATGGAAT